TTTGCCGTATAGGCTGCAGGTTTGTTCTCGCATTATCAGATCTCACAGTATCTGCAGTGATGTTTGCCACACTAAGTATAAATTATGTGACTCGGTAGATAATCCCCGAGCAGTCTACTAACCTTATGATGAAGTGAGCTGCTGGAGATAAGTGTGCAGTTTAGCGATGAACTGCTTCTGTGACTTTCCGTTGAAGCTTTATCTCTCCGAGCTGGGTTGTAATTTTTTTTCCTGCACAGGCACTCAGAAGTTGATTCTCAGCAGTCAATCCAGCACATACTTTAGAATCCGTCTGACAGGAGGCACGGACTTCAAATTGAGGCGTTCTCACACAGAGCTTTTATTAAACCTCTGTTGGAAGAAGGCATTTTATCACAAAATGTGTGTGTCACAGACTTATTTTACACTGTTAGGGTCCTCACCACTGTAAACTGATCCATAGATCTTGTTGCTATGGCAGACTTGCTGCAAATGGAATTTCGGAGCGAAGATTAGTGCCAAAGCCTTTTGTCTGATCCTGATGTGTAATTCCTCACCCAGTCCAGCCTCATTGCCTCTGAGCCTCTGATTACCACCATCACTGTTGTGTTATGCGTAAATCTTTCGGTCACAGCAGGACACGTGTCATTATTCAACACTCTTGTCATTAGAGGAGAACCAGCAGTTAGTAGAGCTAACAGTGACTCCGGCCGTCCCAGTGCAGCATGCCTGCCAGGCTTTTTCCGAATGTTGTTGACCACAGAGCCCTCTCTCAGCCTGACTACAGCCAGCGGCACACATCCAGTGCACCGCCCTCGTCTCCTGCGCCGGCACACTGCAGTGCGGTCTAAACAGCCGTCACCTAATGCAGAGCCTGCTTGTATCCGGGCATCACTGGTGGTTCTCACCACTCTCTCTCAACCCTTCATTCAAATCTGAGTTGTGGGACAGCATCCTGGTGTAAGGCGTCAAGCTGATGTAGCTAATTTTATCTGTGCTGTATCAGCACAATCTCTATCACCTGAATGTTATTGTGTTAAAGTGAAGGGGGTATGTAGTCCTCCAGAATGTTTTAGTATGCTGTACACTATACTACAATATGTTTTTACTGTCGGGGGAGTATGCAACAATCACATGTTAGTTTTTGAGTTCCCTCCGTCATACTGTATTGACAGGATTACATATATTGGACATTGGCGCGGGGACCATGCTGCTTGCAAATGTATCCTGCTTGCTCCACAACTCCAAAACAGTCTGCCGATCAAGAAAGCACACATGACTCTGGATCAAGCTCTGCTCCCTGACAGTCACTGCACCACAATCCGTCCTCTCACCACTGGCCTCCTTGATCTCGGTGTGATTCAACTTGCACTCACCATATGGACTTACTTGTTTGTGTCAACAATGTCTCCCGCACTGTGGAGACCTTATGTTTTGATTATTCACACAACCGAGGAGGATCAATGAAATGATTTTTTAACATCCATTTAAATTCAGCTTACGTTGGGCCCCGTCTAGTACCCAGCTACGGATCTCGTTCACCCCCAGCAGCTGCATCTCTAATTAGCTCTGATGTGAGTTAATGTGATGCAACCTGCTGGCCGTGTGGGTGTAGCAACAACCACTGGGATACAAAACAATTGGAGGCAACTTCCGGCACAACACAGTGGAATAGCTCACTCTGTCAGTACATCATGCACAGATGCTGATAGGGTTGTAAGAGTATGAGATTTTCACGGTAGTATAACATTAGTATAACAGTATTTCTCTCTTGTTTTTTTTTTTTTTTTTTTGTAAACAAATAAAACAAGTTAAAGTCGAATTGGTATGAAGCTGTTTTTAGTTTAAATGGTTAAATTGAATGCAAGTTGGGATGCTTGACCATGGTTCTTGACATTTGACTCAGTTTAATTGCCCTGTGGTAGTTGGTTTGTTAGCAGCATGGTTCACTCTCCCATATTGTGTGAAACTATTACATTTTTTATGTGTATGGTGCATCATCTGTGAAAACATCTTTGAGCTCTTAAATGTGTAGGTCATTTGAAATGGAGTGTAGCATCCTCTTAGATCCAGAGCTAGTGCTCTGTGAATGCTGCAGTGAGCACCTGGTCCGGTGACATCGTGTCCTTGGCTGAGGACTTCACACACTTAACCCAGAACATCTCACATTTATAGACCTGGAACACCACTAAAGTGAGTGGCTTTCAGTGACAGCCAACCAGATGGCTAGGCACACTCATGGGGTTTTTAACAGCAAGGGCAAAAGGAAAAAAAAGCACATAGAGCCTCTCGTATCAAGGCTAGCCGCTCACGCTGCTGCCATGACAAAGAGCTAAAATGGTCATTATCACACCTACAGTGCATTCAAGGAATTTCCTCATGATCTAATATCTGCACATAGCCCCATGCAGTCATGAGACCAGCTAACCGTGACCTTTGACACATGCAGTTCTCCATCTGCCATAATTATTGCTCCATTATACAGAAATGTGACAATTACTCACCGAGATTCAAGTACATTTCCAGTCCAGCGCATTTGTTGTTGCTGCTGACTCGGCAGCTTAAGGGCACCAGGGTTGTTGGTTTGAGAAACTGTTGTCACTTTTCCTGACATTATTTTACTGTTGGCCCAGCAATTTGGCATCTCTATCCTTCAGAAAGTTTATACTTTCACACCTGCAAATGTGTGTAACATCCGCCTTAACTTCATGCAGAAATATTAGCTTTAGAAACCTTGTTTGCCATCATAGCCAGACGATTGTGGTAACTTCACTCAGTCACTATGGGATGTGTAGCTGGAGCAGCCTCCAGGCTGTACTGTGCTCAATCAGTTATTCTAGGCAGAGACTTTGTACATGTATTGTATTATAAGATTTCTCATTTTGCAATTGTGTCCAGTCCAGGCATTATACAATTTAAAAAATAATCTTTAAACAGAAGACGTTTTTTAGTTTTAGTTAACTTCTGTTGAGCGTAATTCTTTTAGTTTCATATTCAATGTAGCCTCAGTTCTTTCATTACAAACAGATGGATATTACTTCACAATGTCATAATTGAGATAACACCGACGTCTCTGTGTTGAATTTGTTAGAGACATGAAAGAGATGTTGCTCTGGTTTTTGCATTTACTGTATTTGGCCTTTTAATGACCTTTTTATGGGCGGACTAAGGAAAGCCAATACAGTGTTGTAGTGCAGACTAACAAGACATTTAGTGGAGGTGTGAATGGTATCGACATCACAATAAGAGACTGGTTTAGTTCATCTGGTGAATAAATGTGTTTTTCTGTTGTGAAATAATGACTTTTTTGCCGAAGCATAGCAGTACATTACAAGAGACAACTTTGTGTTTTGGAGTTCATTTCTGAAAAAAGAAGTATACATTTTGTCCAGTAAAGTGTTCACATTTTGTCCAGTAAAATGTTCACCTTATCCAATTAACGGAAAGTCAATTATGCGATGTTACTTTTGTGTATCGTCTGTGATGCTTTTATCTGAAGCGAGAGAGGATGAGGTGCGTTTGATTTCCATCCATGCCAAAAATAAATCAAATATTGAATAATAATATCTAAGACATTAGCTACAGTATACCTAATGAATATATCTAGTTTATTACTCAGTGTACACCATGGAGAGCTGGATGCTGCGTTCAAAGACAGTGGCCTGTTCAATCCTGTGAAAGTTGCTCACTGGGCAGAAGGAGCTTCATTTTCAGGCTGCTTTTGTGGATTTCGAGCTCGCCATAGTTAAACGTTGAGCCTGGAGCATGTGCAATAGTGAGAATACCCGGAGAGGTTAAAAATAAAGATCTACATTTCTAAAACATTACATTGCTACGTAAAAACCTGTGGCGCTAACAGTGTATGCTGCTTTTGCTTTTTAATGGTTGTAACAGTGAATAGAGCTACCTGTCTTTAACAGTGTTGTTCCTTCATTTCATTGTCTTCTGTCTAGATTACCAGATGATGTGGTGGTTCACTTTCACACTGAGATCTGTAGGATAAAAATGTGTTCACTGTTTTACAACCACAGCACACACAACTCTATAAGCATGGTCATAATCTTGTTCCAGAATAAACTACACTGGCCAAGTTGAGTGTAGTGGAAGATTATATCACCCAAAGCAACAGTATGTGTTTTTAATAGTTTTTGCATAATTGCGGAGATCTATGGGATGGAGGTGTAAGCTCAATCAATTTCAGCCAATACTTGTTATTAGGATACATTCACTGTTGGCTTTGGTCATTTAGTTGTATTTGCTGATAGAAATAAATACATTTAGGACTCATTACATTTGACAGTACATTCAGAAGATGATTTGTACGTGGTACAGTGTACTCATTCCTCACACTCTCAGAAGCGGGGCTGAGTTGTACGTCTCTCGACAGGATGAATGGGCAGATGGGAGATTGGCCCACTCATGCTGCCCCCAAGTCTGCCCCAGCTGCTTGGAGATATTACGCTCCATGTGTGGTGATTAATAGGTCCTCAGTCACATCAGACTCAGTTTCAACTGGGCTAGAGACGACTTGGGCACCAAAGAAGAAGCCAGTGATGAATGCAAATGCTTCTTCATACCTCCAGGAGCACCCAGTGGGAGTTACCCCCTCGGGTGACTGATGGTGTTTATGACATTGGTTCAGTATTCACTTTGCTGGGTCAAATGGGGAATCCTCACTGTGACCCATATATACGCTGTTTGGCTTCGGTCTTATAGTTGTTCAAATGATTTATCATATTTCTGTGTTAGCTACATTGTTTTGGCTTTATGGCTTTATCCTAGCATGATCATCCCTCATCATCGCAGTCCTGTTACGAGACCTGAACTGTGAAGTGGCCTCGTTAGGTTTTATTGGCCAGTTAAATAGAACAGCAGGTTAACTTTACTCGTATAGTATATGGTGTCCAATGCTGTGAAATGTTGCTCATTTGGATATGTTATTCACTCTGTCAGTGAGTTTTATTTTTGTTCTGTTTGAGTCTGTTTGAGTCTAATCTCACCCTTCTCTGCTTTTCTTATAGGTGAGCCACGCAAGTATGACCCAAACTTCAGAGGGCCGGTTCATAACAGGTACTACACATACATGTTGCGTCTAACAAATATAGCAGTATAATAATAAATAATAATACTTTCGATGCACAATTACGTCACTGTGTTACAAATGTATTTTGAGATATGTAGGCAGAACTCACAGAGAGATATCTCAAAACTGAAATCACTTAAAAACTATATGTGTATGTGCATACTACTAAGGCTTTGTAAGAAAATGTGTTTGCTTTTTTTACTCTGGTGGCGGGAACCCTTTTAACTATTTGTCACTGTCTTCCGTGTACATTGATTTTGTTCATTGTATAATCCTTTTGGTACACGCCCAAGTCGAAGCGCTGATAGATTGATCATTCATCATGCCACGTTAATAAAGATTGAGGCCGAGTGCTGGCAGCTCTCTCCACTCCACCACACAGATCAATGGCCATAAGTCAAGCTGGTGGCTGGAGTTAGCCCAATGACACACACTATTAACTAGCCAGATACACCCAAACAGATGTAGTCCACACATCACCGGGGCCATTGCATCGAGGTGTCTCCTGTCTTTCAACCAGAAGCATGGGAGCACTTCTCCTGATGAACTACAGCCTGCTGTCTGCCTAGTAAGGGCTACGATTCTATAAAGAGATGTCTTTGAATCACATGAAATTGGCAACTTGTGTGATACTTTAGGCACTTGAAAGTGAGCTCACATATGCCAAAAAAGATGGACAGTGATGGTGCTTTACAGATGCAATCACAGATTCACAGAATCGCAGACCTATCAACTGTAGTTTGATAATCCCTCTCAAAAATGAGGATATTTAAAATTAAGTCTGCATTTTATGACTACCTGATTTCTGAGCAGAATTGTGCAATAAAGCAAAAAACCCTCCGAGTGGTTCACCTCAGGCTTTTTTGATGACTCAGTCATTTTCTGAGGTAAAGTAGGCTCTTATCTCTTTTATGTTCAATGTGAGTTTGGCAGGCTGCTGTTAAGGCAGGTTTCAGTCCTCCTGTGTCTCTTTATCCCACCCCTCTCCAGCCCATTCCACTGCTACAGCTGGGTGAAGGCGCCACGGATGCTTTGATGTTTCTGTGGCTCAGAGGCTCTTCTTAATGAGAACGGGGAGAGAACCGACTCGGTGGTCGTCATGTTTTCATGAAGTAACCTGAAGTAATCTGTGGTTATTGAGCAGTCCTCTAAAGGACATATACGTGTAGTGGGACAATATAATACACAGATATAATCTGTGTCCAAAATATACACTGAGGAGCCACAACTGCACAACTGTATTGCAATGTAGTAATGCCTTTTGATGTGCACTCACAAACAAATGTATCCTGCCACCAGGGACAGCTACCTGAAGGAGCCTCGTGTTTGTCAGACATCCCTATAGTGTGAAAATCTGACCCTCCAAGTGTCCTTTCCTGTTAATGTCTGTTACAAAGCAGGGACAGGCTGGAACCCATGCTACTCTGTGGCACTGCTGCCATCTGTGGCACCTCTGCTCGCTCAGAATATCAGCTCAACAAATGTCAGTGTTACAGAACCTCCAGTACTGATGTTTTTTTTCTTCCCCGTTCAGTACACCAGCAATGCTCTGGTCCCTCTGGTCCCACTTCACATCTGAAGAGGCCGGGTCGGGGTCCGACTAGATTTGCAGTTTTTGTTTTTTTTGGCCTGCTTTTCTGAGATAAGAGAACGAAGCAGAGTTGTTTTCACTCCCCTCACTTGGTCAGCTTCTCTTCAACGCTCACCTTTGCATGCTTCACAGGTGACCGTGGTGCTGTGTGCACTCTGTCTTAATAATGCAGATGGATCTACAGTAACATAGTGCGGCGTAGGAGAGGCGAGGTCGGCTTTAAACCCCTCAGATCACCACGATGTGCCGCTGAGTGATAGCTAACTCATCTTCCAGCTAAAGGATGGAGAGGGATTCAAACATTGCCATGGCAACCCTGACAGCCTTTCCCCTTGTTTTTGTCTTAGACGTGATGAAATGGTACTCCCTTGTCTCTCTCTGTTAATCACATGCACGATATCAGCAACAGCGTTGGTTGTAGTGTGTCAGGTGTTTTTTATACTCCTCATATTTCACTGCCAGTGTAGAACTGCAGCTGTCTTCCTCAGGCAGAGCCTTTGTTTCTCTATTATCTCCCGAAAATAATTGCTGTGCTTTTCCTAAAAAAAGTCCCTAAGCCTCACTTCATATTGCAACCAACTGCTTGTTGAGTCTTTTGTCTTCCAGTGTCGGTCATTGCAGGTTTTGGCTGATATTTGCCTGAAGATAGAAAGTAGATGGTCTGTGAGTGGAGATATAATATTTTGAATTTGCAGGTATCCGCAGTCGTGATGGAATTCAGATGAGAGCGGTGATAATGGAGTCATCTTATTTTAAAATGAGAAATGAGAATCAGCAGCCCTGCTGGGACAGAAAACATTCCCAATCCTCTATATTAAGTTCAGAGCAAACCAGTCTAACATAGAGCTCAAGCTTTACTGCCGTTATTAATGCAGTTAAAAAAATAGCTCTTAAACTTATAAACAGTCTGGGATCATTTGCAATTCAAGCTTAAATTACACAGCTGACCCCAATTGATAATTGATTCTAAGAGGCTGCACTGAGTAACACTACACTGAATAATGTAACTACATAAGTATCTATTTTAAGCTACATTTACCCCTCTTTGTATGGGTTGATCTGTGTGCTCTAGCCTCTCTTCACTGTCTGCTACTTAATCATGAAATTGTACTTGGAGGCTGAAGAGTATCCCGTGTAGAAGCATGTCACCATGCTGCATACAGAACGAGGACAATCCTCTCTTCAAAGAACTACACAGAGGAAACACTGTCACATCTCTGATCTCAGGCCTCCTTTTGACATCGCCTTCGCTCCTCTGGATGAAAGAGGAGAAGGGTCGAAAGCTGGAGGAGATGAGGGTCTCTACTCAATTTGTGGTGTGAGAGGCAGCCTATGTATGTCATCTGTATGGTACTACTGGGCACAGTGGATTGAGCCTGGCTTTATTCAAGGCTGGGCTCAGCACTCCGAGTCTGAATAGTTTTTTTAAAAGGGGGCTGGACTGACAGCTTCTCTCAGAGTGGAAAGGAGGGGATGAAAGCTTGTTGTTGGGAGAGAGACAGTGAAAAAGAGAGAGAGAGAGAGAGACTCTAAGACGCTGCTTTAAACTAGCAAGCTGAGGATGCTGTGGAGAGAGAGGCAAACTTCAAATAGCTGTCTGTGCCTGTGGGACAGTTAACTCTCATTAGAAATTCAGTAGACCTCCATGCAGTCTCTCTGAAAACAGAGTACAGATGACACCTTGTTATACCTGGTAGCAAGTGCTGCACCCAGATGTAAAGCTCAAACTCGCTTGCATACAGCAGCTCCATCATGATTACCAACAACGAAATGGTTAAACACACAATCAACATAAAATGTATTTTCCTAAATTTCTAAATAACCTTATTTTATGCTTTTATTCTTTCCAGTGTCAGGCGTCTGTTATTTGTTTTTTTCACACATTTTTTGTTTTTTTCCTCCCAGGAGCTGCACGGATGTGGTGTGCTGTGTCATCTTCATCGTTGTCATCCTCGGCTACATCGCGCTGGGTACCGTGGGTGAGTTCGACACATTGCTGCTGATTGCAAAGTCCTTAATGACACACACGCACACACACACACACACATACGATATGATATGTTCTGATCTGGTCATGAAGTGAAAGTGTCTGCCTGTGACAATAATTTGGCACAAACAACATGGGTTTGCTCTACTCCACAGGATACACCGACACTTAAGGAGAACATAAGCTGTTTTTTTAAATTTTTTTTATTAGTTTGATTTATTCATAATTTCATTGTGGGCTATTTGACAAAATGTGTGATTGTTGAAATTGCGTGGGAGTTGAGAAATGGAGCTCCCCCAGAGAATGGGCTCGTCTTTTAATAAGAGGGAGAGTCACCACAACATGCAGCTTGTATGTTTTCTGTTGATTTTCTTCCCTCTGGCTCTCATTTCATTCAAATTGTCTCGTTCACTTGAGTGTGACAATGTCCACTTTGTCTGCAAATGACTGAGTGTGCAGTGCGGTGAATCTCCTCATTGGCTTTTCTTTATTTCCGTCTTGCCTCAAGTTTTCCTTTTTCCCCATTTCATTTTCTTTACTTTCTCTCTCTCTCTCTACTTTTTAGTTCACCGTCTCATTTTTTTCCCAATCTGCCACTTTTCTTTCTCGCTTTCTCGTGCAGAAAACATATCCTGTTTAATCCAGCACACCTGACCGCACATCTCTGTCCTCGTGTCTTTCACACGTATGATAAACATCACGAATTAGGGATGAAATGAATTCCCGACACTGTCCCCAAAGAGCCGTCCGTTGCCAGCTTGTTGTCAGCGGAGTCACGTCTCAATCTGGGCACGGGAAGGACTTTCTGTTTCGCAATCATTTAAAAAGAGCAGCAGCCACAACAATGGATGCGACTTCAAATACACACTGACATTGTCTGCAATTAGCTGAATAACTGTGTTCTTTCTGTAAAAGTTGTAACGTTTCATCATCCTTGTTGTGTCAAAGACTGTCATTGTTTTACCGCTTCACATTCAGAACAATATTTCATAAACTTAGAACTTAGAATTGCTTAGTAAATTTAATTTCAAGGCTCCTGCTACTCCTGTCTAGAGAAACACAACAAAACAAACTGGATTGATGCATTTATTTTTTTAAATCTGTGGTGATGTTTCTTCTGAATTCACATGCATACATACGTTCCAAATACATTTCCATTATCTTTCTAATTGTAGACACGCATGGCCTTGGCCTGATGCACTTATAGATTGATTCCTATAGGACCCTCTTTGACCCAGCTGTACCTACTAATAATAATAATAATAATAATGCAACACATGTCTTAAGGTAGCTGATACAAGCTCTCAGACTTACTCTACACTGATAGCACGTGTCCTTTAGGACCACAGAGAGCCGTGTGTACCTCGGTAGGTAGAGCGATGACACTGAGTCTGTGTCTAGTGTGGGTGACACATGTTTAAATTGTGCTGTGCTGTTGTTTTCAGCCTGGATCCATGGCGACCCCAGGAAGGTCGTCTATCCGACCAACAGCCGCGGCCAGTTCTGTGGCCACAAGAACACCCCCAATGCGTGAGTGGAGAAATATCTTTCTTCAATGATTGGACACTGGAACAATTATGTTCCCCAATTTGTCTGCCAGCTTCCCGGCGTTATCTTTACACTCGCATAAGGATTTGACCACAATACACGGCGATGCTTTGTGATGAATTATGGCAGGCTTCACTGCATGGCTCACTCTCTCCAAGCGTATGTACGTGCGTGTTTGAATGCTTGCTGATAAGACTTTGCTTCTCTGTCTTTTGAATCCCTCTAATCAGACTTCTCTCTTTATCGTCTCCACAGAAACAAATCCAGATTATTCTACTTCAACATGCTGAAATGTGCCAATCCTGCAGTTTTGATTACCCTCCAGTGCCCTACAACCCAGGTAAGAGACTGAATGAAGCCCCTTCTGCCCAACCGTTGTGTTCCTCACCCAACCTGTCCGCCACGCTTGATTATGCAAGATTGATGGGATGTCTCATTAAGTGGATGTGTTGCCTCCTCCAGCTCTGTGTGTCCAAGTGCCCTGACAGATTTGCAACTCTACTGGATGCATGGAATACCAAAAACTGGGAATACTACAAGCAATTCTGCCAGCCGGGCTTTGAGATTAGCAGTAAGGTGAGAGACGGTGGTTTGTGGTCCATTACAAGAGTTTGAACCCTCTTCTGTTGTAGACACACTTTTTGGAAATATAATTGTACAAGAATGCCTCTAAACACAAAAAAAAAGTAAATCCATCCTCAGATTTCATCACTTTATCTGTCCAGTGGTTATAATGAAGAGCTTATTTGAATGTGACTTGAGAGACGTTGAGCTAGCAGCCGCTGATGCACATCACAGCCCCGTTCAGCCGGCTGGTGGCAGATCGGTGACGTTGGCGCGGTGGTGTGTAAGAACCACAAAGTGAGGTGGTGTGTGTCGGTGCACCTAACGGCTCAGTCATACTGTTGGAACTGAATCCCTCGTTTCCATTCATCCAGTCATCCCAAGTATGACAGTGTTACATCAGAAAGGATTCAATCCAACCACGTCACAGGAACAATGATATTATTATTGATACCAACGCTCAATGCAAATTAAACGTTGCGATAATAAACACTATGATAAACATCTTGTTTTCAGTTGTTGTGCCATCTCTTTTGTTTCCCTCTCAGTCCATTGTAGAAGTCCTACGAGATGAAGACTGCCCGTCTATGATCGTGCCAAGCCGACCCTGTAAGTACATCTGAACAACTGTAATCACAACCGCACACATTAGCTCACTATCTGTGAGCCGGGCCACTAAAGAAATGTGTTTCAGTCCTTCAGCGGTGCTTCCCGGATTTCATTACAAGAAATGGAATTTTAACTGTAGCCAATGAGACCCTCTTCAAAGATGGTAACAATAACCAGAGAAGTGTCCTCGACCTCAAAGACGCTGCCAAGTAAGATCTGCTTCCCTGCAATGTGAATCTTTATCCTTGTTGTTCAACCAGTCAAGTTACGCAAACAGTTTAAAAGTAATGTACATCAGATCGAGAATTGGCGTTTTTTGCTGTAGTAAAAGAACATTTATACATATTTTACCCTTGTAAAGTGTTTTAAAACTGTTATACTGTCAATAGGGCTGCCCGCTCTGCACCCACAAAGCTCTGGACAAATGTTACAGGGTAGGACAAGCGGGCACGTCACTGATGCCCAGGAATGTGTCCAACCACATTTCAAAGTCGTTTGCATGTTTATCGCATGAAAATGCAGCTCACCCACAAGTTCCAGACTCGAACTTCAGGTGTACCTATGAGCTCACAACAGCTGCTTTGTAAATCTACGCCATCGACATGTTATTGGGCTGAGATAGCTTCAAATGTTGGAGAAGCAGAGAAATCATGTATTTAAACCAGTGAGCTGATATTATAACATACATGATTCTGTGTCTGCTGGGACCAACCTGTGAAAGATAATGTGCTTTAATGCTTTTCTTTTTGTAGCCAAGTAACGGCCATGCAGCAAGGAGTGGAAAGGTCTCAAAAATGATTTATTATAGCTTTTTAACTTTTGCCTCCGCTGTAGCCAGTAGCTTTTTGTAGACTAACCCCGCCTCTTCATCATAAACAATCTGTTCCGGCTTCCCTCCACCTGCAGCAGGGGACTGGAATAAGGACAGATTAACACAATTGTTTGTGGCATACATCTACCTCAAAACATGCAGTCATCTACTACTCTGGGTGTGAAATAACATGGAGGGTGATGTAGTGCCCCCTGGTGGTCGTTAGGTTTGCTGCCTGGATCTCGATATGAATGCAGGTTTGCATAACAGTGCTGGATATGATCCAAGCTCTCGTCTATGGACTCGGTGACCTTTAGGGAGCTGAATAACAGCTCTTCATCTTCATGCTTGTTGTTTGTCCCGTAGCGATGTTCTCGTCCTCTCTCCCTCCTCGGTACTTCAGACGTTTATCTGAGTCACAGGTCAGTGTCTCTGCGCTCAAATACTGCAGGAGCAATGTTCCGACTGTGTTACCAGTAGTTCTATTCTCTCCGTGGAGATCTCAACATCTGGTTTTCATTACCAGAGTTCTTTAAATACACTGAGAGAATAGACAGAATGCTGAAACATTTGTCTTTGGTTAACATTTGTTTGTTTTTTTCACAGGGAAAGGTTAAGTTAAAATATCAAAACAGATTGAGTCATTTGAGTTTTCTTAAATATTGATGAATTTAGGTGACATGTAAAACAGATTAAAAAAACAATACAATTCATCTTGAGTATTTGAATCATTTAGTTTTATTAGTTATCGGACACTTAAGCTGTACTGTGAATATAAATAACTGGGTTCTTGATCCGATTCCATTAATATGTGCTCTTCCACTAGCTGCTCCTCTGTATCACATTCAGTAACCCGCTGCTATACCATTCACCGCCATACCGAAGCAACGGTTGCTGCATAGCGCTTCAGTAACACTAATGCTGTTTTCTGGCTCTTTGATATAATAGTTAGAATACTTCATAACCCAATACGTGTAGCTCTTAAAGCTGAGAATATCAAAAAGCAATTTTAAACTGTATCCATCTTTGTTTCATCGTAAGAGCATCAAAGATGAGTAGAGTGTCAAAATGTTTTTGAGAAACCCTAGTAAGTACATTTTTAGGAGCAGTATCTCAAACCTGCCCCAGTCCGTCTCTGTGTCCTTATTAAATCCTTTTTTTATTGTCATCTCTCCTCTTCCCACTCCTTCCCTTCTCACCTTGTGACTCCATCACAGAGGTATCTCCAGTCTGATGAATGCCAAAGAAGTTGGCATGAAGATCTTTGAGGATTATGCAAACTCCTGGGACTGGATCCTCATGTAAGAAGGTTTTCACTCTCTGAATGGATAATGTGCTCCTCTATCTGCCCCATCAGTGATATAAGTGATGAAACTGAATTAAATGTTGACCCTGTAACGTTAGTTAGAGTTGCTACTGTCCTACCCGTCAGACACTGGTCAGTACCCATTATGTGTCTGTGTTGTTGCAGTGGTCTGGTGATCACCATGGTGGTCAGTCTGGCCTTCATCCTCCTGCTGCGCTACACTGCCGGTGTGCTCCTGTGGCTCATTATGTTCGGTGTCGTCGCTGCGATCGGCTTCGGTGAGAATTCACCACAGACGGTGGCTGCTGTATACTTTGTACACATTGTTGGAGATGTTGCCCACATGTTTTACATTTGACTTTTCTCACCTATCTTTGCCATGTGCTGTGCTGTTGTCATGGCAGACTGTGGCAGATTTAGATTAGTCTAACCTTACCTGTCGCATCTTCTCCTGACGTTCATTCTGTCTCTCCGTGTCTCTCAGGTATCTGGCACTGCTACTGGGAGTACAGCGCTCTGAGCGGGAAGCGCGGCGCTAACATCACCATCTCTGATATCGGCTTCCACACCGACTTCAGCATTTACCTTCAGCTCCGCCAAACGTGGCTCATCTTCAGTATGTTGTTATCCACTCTAATGCATCATATAAACCCAAACCCTGACGGCCGTGGTGTATTGCTCGTCCCACCCAGATTTGCTCAACCACAATCGTATGAATAACATGTTTCTATCCCTGTAGACTTGAGTTTAAATGCTAAATTGACATATTAAGAGATATGTGTTGCATTGACTAGTAATGAAACAACTTTTACTTTGTAGTGCTCTCGCTCTCTGTGATTGAGGTCATCATTGTGGTTATGCTGATATTTCTGAGGGCGAGGCTGCGCATCGCCATTGCGTTACTGCAGGAGGGAAGCAAGTAAGTACCAATAGAAGCTCTGTTCGCTCCTTAAAAATGAAATGGTTTGACTTTGGTCCTTCTTGTTTCTAGGGCCATCGGCTACATCATGTCCACTCTCTTCTACCCCATCATCACCTTTTTCCTTCTGGCCATCTGCATTGCCTACTGGGCCGTCATAGCAGTGTATCCTTACTGCTGCTACATTGATGAACTGTTTCACTCAGAGAGTTCTGCTGTAGAAACACACTACATCAAGTTCAAATAAAACTGAATTTATTTTTAGAGCAAAATGGGAGAACGCTTGTGCTCTTGTGTCTCGGTGAATCATTTAGCATCGACCTAGCAGCAAAACTGCCTCTCTTTTGTCAGCAGTCAGTGATTGGAGAAAATGTCCCCCTGTGTTGCCCTTAACTAGTTTGTCCTCAGCTTCTTAGCATCATCGGGTAACGCGATCTACAAGGTCACAGCTGCTGATGATAAATGCATGTATGCCAACCTCACCTGCAGTCCAAAGGTTAGTCCTCCCCTCTCTTACGCAATGAAGTCCACTGACTGGAGAAACACTGGTGTCACTCGTTCTTCATTTTTGTAACCTTGTCATTTCTCCACCACTTCTTGCTCTGTTAAATACTTCCTGGTCAGCCTGTAATCAATCAAAGTGGATGTAATAGCTTCTCTTATTGCCTACAAGTCAAATGTGATAGCTAGCAGTGAGTTCTTAGAATCAATCTCTAATGCGCTAATGTTAATAGAGTTCGCATTAGTTGCTGACAGCTAAGAGCGATTATTTGACAAATGTTGTTCATCATTCTGCCCCCCCCCCCTCTGTTTAAGGTAATGTCAAATCTAAAAGCTTTTATATGCTATGTGGTCACACAAGCTTTAATAAATGCAGGACTACTCATACATTAGCAAAAATGATTCATTAACGTTCAAAACTGGAGTACAGTGGAGGAAAAAGCCAAGAACCTTTTGTGATTGAGTAGTTTGTCTCGCTGTGAATTAAGTGTGAAATATTTAAGCCAATACGAGATCACAGCACTCTCGTCTGACTCAAATCTGTTGCTGTCTTTCAGACCTTCAGTCAGAGCAACATCACCACAGTGTGCCCCGGGTCACAATGCATGTTTGCCTTCTACGGTGGGGAGAGTGTGTACCATCGCTACATCCTGGTCCTCCATATGTGTAACCTGTTCATGTTCCTCTGGCTGGTCAACTTCACCATCGCGCTGGGTCAGTGCACCCTGGCAGGGGCCTTCGCCTCCTACTACTGGGCCCTGAAGAAGCCCAACGACATCCCTGCATGCCCCCTCTACTCGTCTTTTAGCAAAGCTATACGGTAAGGACGTGTACTATTGTACCTCTTCACCCCGAAACATGTATGGAATGAATATAAGTCAAATTTGGGACAGTGCTTGTCTCATAGATAAGGCTTTTCTCAATGCAAAGCATCTATTGAATCTGCTGAGAATCCTCCGCAAATGTTCCAATATCTGTTCTATTTGGTTTCTCGTGTCACAGTTACCACACAGGTTCTCTGGCCTTCGGTTCTCTGATCCTCTCTGTGGTGCAGATGATCCGAGTTGTTCTAGAGTACCTGGATCACAAACTGAAAGGTAAACTGTGACTCTTAAAACACAAATCTTACACAATTTGATGGTTATTCCAAACGCGATGTTGATAATTGATGATTTTTCCCGCAGGTTCCCAAAACAAATGTGCTCGATTTATGTTGTGCTGCCTCAAATGCTGCTTCTGGTGCCTGGAACGTTTCATCAAGTTCATAAACAGAAACGCATACATTATGGTGAGTTAGGAAACCTCTGATTTGGACTGATTTATTGCAAATATCTGTTTTTAGTTCCGTTGTTAGTTGGCTTGGCTTGTTTCTCAACACTTCATTACTCTCTACTTTTGTCTGACCTACAGATAGCAATATACGGAAAGAGCTTCTGCACCTCTTCCAGGGACGCTTTCTGCCTCTTGATGAGGAACGTTATTCGGTAAGCCCTTTCTTGTAGGTCTGTGTCAGATCCGTGCGTCTAAAAAAAGGTCAGAGTACAGATTATTAACTAAGCCGGGCTAAAACAAAAAGATTTGTAGGTTTGCTTTATATAACTCTGTGAGACAATCAGGACGTGTGTTTTGAGCAGTTGAACATTTTTGCTTGTTAGCCTTCCCATCGTGTCTCAGTGTGTGACGTTGCTGGCTGTTCTCTGCCTCCTCTCTAGGGTGGCTGTCCTGGACAAGGTGACAGACTTTCTGCTCTTCTTGGGGAAACTGCTTATTTCAGGAAGTGTTGGTGAGTTTCATGTCACCTGCAGTCTGTGAAGTGACAGACGGGATGAGATATCCTCCTGAATGTTGGGTGGATGATGACTCGTCTCACTCCCAGTTATTTCTGCTGTGCACATACTCACATACTCTTATTTCCGCTCAAGTTTAAATTCACTGTTGCAAAGGTCGTCTGCTGGTCTCTGAAAATGAGTAAATCTCTTACGTTTAATTTATCCTAGTTGTTATCCTTGCAAATCCCTGTACAGAAAATATTGAGCTATTTGTCCTCAGCTTTCACGAATGTAAGATTTATTGATCTAAATGTAGCAGAACGAGTATGTGTGCTCTTAAGCCTTTAATGTTTTTAAAGAGCTTTTTAGGATGATTTGTGCTGCTTGATTTATCCAAGAATCCTTTATGTATTTATGTTTGCTCTTAAAAGGTTTATAAAGGAACTATTTCAAGACTTGATATACTTGAATTATATGCTTGTTATTCATGTTTTCCAGGTGTTCTTGCATTTTTCTTCTTCACACGTAAAATACCTGTCATTCAAGAGGAGGTGCCGTCCCTGAATTACTCCTGGGTCCCCCTTGTGGTAAGGAATTCAAAATGTGGGCTTTTTAACGAGTAATTTCAGCAGCAATAACAACTGGGACTGAATGCAGTGTCTTTGTGAGGTGGAGGTATTCTGACTTTGATTACTCACTGTGCACACAAAAGATTTTATCCAGATGCTCGGAGGTGCTTAGTTTTGTTCAGAACCTTCCTTCCTCTATGTTATGTCTCTGGCTCAGCCTGCACCTTTTAAGTAGAGTGCTAGTGTAATTGTGTTTTGTTTAAATAACTGTCGGGATACATTAAAAGGCTGCTGGAGCATTAGTGTGGAGCAAAAGTATGAAAGCTATTCTGCTTTTTTTCACTGAATATACGGCTAAAATGTATGTATTGTAGTATTTATTATTGATAGAGCTTATCTTATGTCTTTACATTTGTCACATTTTTGCAAAGCATGGCACTGATTCAATTGAATAATTTAGAACTAATTTAAAATGAAGCCTTCTAAATGTGTAAGTAGTTTTGTTTCTTGGCGACTCTGCTCAATTCCATGAAGACCTGCAGGTAGGCCTCCTCCTCCATAACAACATGTCTAGCACCTCACCTGTCCACAGAACAGAGAGAACACACACCTCCTGGTGTAAGAGGTCTCTGTGCCACAGATTACAATGCTCCCTGGGTTCCACATTTTTTTATTAGTTGTGGGAAGTAGTTCAACTGCATTTAACACCATGTCAGATGGCATAATAACACATGTTGACAGTGTAGACTGACTGTGACCTGTTGATTCTTTCAGACGGTGATATTTGGATCCTACATGATCGCACATGGCTTTTTTAACGTCTATGCGATGTGTGTGGACACGTTGTTCCTCTGCTTTTGTAAGTATGCTGGTTTTTTCAGTAATTTACATGACGCAATGTGACAATAGGACTACTTGTAATGAGCGCTGCTACGACGGTTAAAGATTAAATGTCTAGTAGCCCGTCAGCAGCTAAATTGAACTCCTTCCTTCTTTGAAACTGACCCTAAATGACAACTGAAGCTGGCTCCTGCTCATTCAGCGCTCTAATTCCTGCGCGGCTTTTTTGAGTATTTATCTCTACTAAGTCTCTGCTTTGCTTTCTCTTCCTGGCTATCACTCTGTGTGCTCTTCCTGCCCCCCCCTGTCCTCTGCTGTGCCGGCTACCTGGTCTCAGGTGAAGACCTGGAGAGGAATGACGGTTCTCCCTCCAGGCCTTACTACATGTCTCCTGGCCTGCACAAGATCCTGCGCAAAGGAGAGGAGGGTGCCAAATTATGCGCTGCATCCTGAGCGACGTGCGGCCATTTTATTTTTAAATTGAACTCTCTCACTCACTTCTCCATATCTACTGTAAGTGTGAGGGTCCGGACCTTTGAGAGCGAGTACTGTAGGGCTAAGCATCAAAACTGGACGCATCCCGGCCTGGTCGGGGATGGTCTCGACATAAAAGTACACGCTTTTAGTTCAGTTCCTCCCAGAAAAAGGCTCGGGGGGGGGGGGGGACTAGAAACGACCAGTTTACTTCCTCTCTTGAGCCAAACTCAGATACTTGCCTTTTTTTTCTGCCTCGCTTATTTTCCTTTCCTTCTCTGTATTCTCTGCTGACCTCTGCCTTACCGAGAGGGTACGTGTCAACTCGCAGGACGGACGCACAGACCGAGATGAATATGATTCAAGAGCATTTTTGCATAAACAAAGTTAAAGGACCTTAAGATGTACAGATGCCACTGTTGGACTACGGCGTATGTCCTCACCATGAAAAAGAGGTGGCGTTATGGAACACCCTCTTGTCGCACTTTGGTCTTCTAGTGTAAAATCATGTTTTGTATGCACTTTCACACATGGGAAAAGAACCATGTGATCTATTTCCTCTGTCGAGCATGATTATGTTGCTGGCTGTTGATGTTTACCATTGGTTTTATAGGTTGCTTTGATCCACCGTATTTATACTAACACAAACACACACACATCCAAAAATAGTGTGTAATTCTGCACTTAGTGAAAACAGGTTTCTCTTATTTCACATCGGTAAGAAAAAAATGTCGCAATCATTGCCATCATGCTCATAAACGTACTGTAAACCAGAGACTTTGCGGGAGGTCGAGACTTCAAAAGACATTTAATGGTTTTTGCTTAGAATCTGAACAGAACCTGACAGGACACTTCTGAATGCAGCCACTAGTTTATGTGCCTAGTTGTGAAGAAAAAAAAAATGTTCCTCTTAATCTGTGGTTTTAGCCCCAACACCAGGAACCTTTTGTGATACAGTTTATATAAGGATGTCAAAGCCATTTTTGGTAATTTTTTTATTGGATAGTTCGGATGTATTGCTGTTTCAATACTAAGTATACTACACGCATCTATCTGGAGGTTATTCAGTGTTCTTTTTGTATAGCAGCATTTTTTTTATCAATGAAATCCAATGAAAATGTGAATAAATTGTTTTGGAATAAACATAAATGTTTTAAGTATTGTCCAGTTCATCTGAGATTTAATCCTGTTGCTACTGCTGCCTCCTAGTGTGGGATCTGGAGGCGAACGACGGCTCTCCCAACCGGCCCTTCTACATGGACAGAACCTTGAGGCGTATCCTCAACAAGAAAAACGTTCAGGCGACCAGCAGGAGGTAGAAGGAAAGACCAAAGAAATACTCCAGATCAAAGCATGGTACAAGCCCATGTGGCAGTAAGCGTTCAGGAAAATGTATTTCAAGTGTACACAAGTTGCAACTGTACACTCTAATGGACAAACTAACTCTATACTAATGATTTATGGACATTATATTTAGTTGGTATTTATAGCTAACTCAGTTTGTATACAAAAGTATTTTTATTGGATGGTGTATAACGTCACACCAAGTTCTTGTAAATATCTCTAGTTTTTTATGTTATAGTTCTAACAGATATATATTTATGTATAGTTGTGCACAGTCACACTTCACACTAAGTTCCTATTGGAATGAGTGATTTCTTTCTTTATTGAGATTGTGGTAAATGTCACTTAATATCTTGTAGTTGCCAGTTCTCACCACTTGGTGGCGCCATTCCTTACCAGACGTTTTACATGCGCTGTTGAGCTGTGAATGCAAACCGCTGATTGAACCAGTTCTTCCGTGAAACGGTCAAACGTCAGCTCACCTGTGTATTGTGTCATCACAGCGTTTGACCTCATATTGTCTCACATTGAGAAACATATTTGCGTCCACTGTTTTCATATTTAACTGCCAAGGACATAATGGCAGAGCAGTTCAAAGTGCTCCACTCTTTAAGTGCCTTTTTTGTCTCAGAAATTCCACATTGAGTGTCTAATTACATCCTGCAGCTCCATCATTAACATTTGAAGATGCTTTTCATTTTTTGACATTTTTATAGAGCTTGTTAAAGTGATACTCAGCAGCCAGCAATGGCAGTTCACTGTTGGGGCTATGAATGGAAGGTGAAGCATGAGGAATGTTCTGTGTTTGGTGGTTTGGAAGCACGTCACACAACCTTAAAGTCACAGGGCTATCCTCAGCTGCAGCTTGTGCGTCCCACCAGCAAAGAACACAGAACCTTGATGTGTTACTCGTGCTATACCATTACATTGAGTGCTCTTAAAGTGATACTCCCCCAGGTTTGAGATGTTCACATGATACTTTTTATATTTAATACCCAACATAAACAAACACTGTGCTCCCTATGAAGGAAGACGCTTCGGTCTTTGCTTCTGCCAAGTTAGATCCGGGTAGAGTATCACCTTAATTCTGATTATTGAACAAAACATAACGCCAACATTTCTGGTTGAAGTCATGAACTTCAGTTTAAATAACGTTAAATTGTGTCATCACTATGGCTCATGGTGTTGATCCAAAGTGGAGCTGGTCCATGGAAAAGTATTATTGCGTTACTAAAGTGTTAGTCGACCAGAACCTTTTCTGTTTATCAGGTTGTGTTTTTATATTTTTTATTTACCGTTTTTACATCGGTGCTTATTACGTCAAAGCACATTTCTGGCTTCAGACATGCAAACAACTGATGTCAGTTTGAATGTTTGTACTGGTGAGCCGGTAGTGTGGACGATGCCGTCTCTTTGACCACATTTTTGATTAGTTGATGCAATCCTGTGGGGGAGCACCTGCTTTTATTTATTTATTTTTGTCCTTGAATCAGAATCCTGGAATCTCAGGAGAAAGTTCTCTGCAAAGTAGGTTTGATTTTTAGGTTTGGATGTCACCACGTTGTTGGTAAAATGACTGATGAAATAAATGAGCGGCACAGCTGCTGTGTCCTTGTTTCACAGGCATCAAACTCCTGGTGATATTTTCCTTTTTTCCCTAAATGGATCCATGCGCCACTTGTTTGCTTTCAGATCTTTGAGATGTGACTCATGCTTGTATCTTTGTGGCGTGTTTGTCAAACCTGAGAAGCGGCCCTCACGGGGCCTCCGAGTGACAGCGCTGCTCACACACCTTCTGCCTCCGTTTGAGCTGAACACGCTGGGACACGCACGACATAACCAAAAGCAAAACAACTCTGCTTGTGTATCTGAAAGGAGAGAAATGATGCATGTGGCGCTCAGTGTGGCACATTACGAGTGGGTATACGCATGTTATTATTCCTTTTTTTATACTGAATAACTACTCTGGTAGAATTGCGTATCTTTATGTTCATGGTTCAGGTTTTAGTTTCATTCCCATGAGGGTGAATACCTAAGATCTGATAAGTGAAGTAAAAACTGTTTTTATATTCCTTCCCCCTCCCTCGCATGTCTGGAAATTAGATTCTTTTGGTCAACCACAGTCAACAAGTAGACACAAGTCAATCTGCTCTCCTCGCTAGAATGTGCGTCAGTTTTCTCACCGCAAACTCTTAAAAGTCAAACTCTGAAGATGCAGTGCTCAAACCTGTCAATACTCCAAACGGTGTTGTTTATTTTGGCTCATTTGTGCAGAAAGCTGACAGGTTAATGCCTCTCATATATTTATTGATATAGTAAAGGTTGTATGTGTTTCTAACAGAGTATATTGCATTTAAATAGTAGATGTTTTCTTACTTCTGTTTTAATCAATAAATAATTGCTTTTTTACAATTGCATTTACTTTGATTCTGCACAATCAGCTCTAAACACTGCAGCATGTCCGCTGTCACCGGATCACTAGAATATCTGTTTTCATTCACTCAGCGCGGGTTTGTGAAATTAGACATTTATTTTCAAAACAGACTTCACATACAATAAATAAATTAAATTGCAATATCCAAACACTGCTATATAAACAATTTCAAGTTCACCTTCATAATGACTTGACATTTTGGTGTCTTCCACTTAGAGTAGCACGGTCAAACTGTGTCACCAACTACACAAACAAATATAAATCTATGATGTCGTATGTCACAATCCAATGATGTACACTGAAACGTTTCCATTTTCACATTATACAGTACAAATTATAGTCATCCATGATATGCTCAACAGTGAGTTTAGTGTTTTTAAAGAAGGTCAACATATGATGAATTACTGGCAGTTCAAGAAAAGGAAACGTTTTATGGTTCACTTGAAATGGATTCATATTTACCATGAAGATCTGAATACTGAGGCCGCTAATGACGGCCGACCGCTGGTGGATGACTGAGGCTGCTGTGTGTGTGTGTGTGTGTGTGTGTGTGAGTGAGTGAGTGAGTGAGTGAGTGAGTGAGTGAGTGAGTGAGTGAGTGTGTGTGTGTGTGT